TAATTGGTTTCACTGAGGATCGAACTCAGGGCCTTCTGCGTGTAATGCAGACGTGATAACCACTACACCATGAAACCAGTTGAATTACAAAACTGTGGTTATAACCCCTACACCATGGGCCAAACAGTGTAGACATGAATAGACAAAGTGGCACAAAAAGACGAAAATTGTTACGAGAATAAATCGAAAATTTTTAATTGGTTTCACTGAGGATGGAACTCATGGCCTTCTGCGTGTAAAGCAGACGTGATATCCGCTACACCATGAAACCAATTGGAATAACAAAACTTTGGTTATAACCCCTACGCCATGAGCCAAACAGTGTAGACATGAATAGACAAAGAGGCACAAAATGACGAAAATAAATCAAAAATTATTTATTGGTTTCACTGAGGATCGAACTCAGGGTCTTCTGCGTGTAAAGCAGACGTGATTTTTTTTTTCTCTTTTATTAAAGACAGACCCACTGGTCTGCCTCATTATAAAGAATTTACATGTCAAAGGATCATTTACATTACATAAATTGCATCAAATGCGTAAACTAATAAAATAAAAGACTTAATATTACATTTCAAATTGCTCATCATTTACAAGTATCCGGTTAAAAATTCTCCGGATTATAATGTATAAACGTTTCTAGAATCACAGTTAGGTACTGTGGTGCAATTTCTAATTACTATGGGAATATGGATACATAGTAGCATAATATAAGTCTTCAAGGAATAGTTAATCTATAATTTATCCCATTGACCATTGTAATTATGGAATTATTATAAGCATACAAACATTCAAAGTGGGCTAAGACATCCCTTCGCAGGAAGCGATCATATTCAAATTTTATTTTGTTTTTTAATTGATATTTAAAATATTGTTTGAGGGGAATGTGATCTCCTTTGTTGATATAATATTTTCTTCGAATATATATACAATACTTTGTCAGCGATAAAAGCAAATTGATTGTATTCCAAAAATATTTATCATGTTTGTCTAAAAACCCAAAAATTATACTTTGTTGTTTGTCACCACTAAAAGATGGACACATTTTAAAAATTATGTCAAAAACGTATTTCCATAGTTGCTGTATTGTAGTACACTCTGTGAATAAATGAAGTGTATTTTCGTTTTCACATTTACAGAAATTACACAATGGAGAATCAATTTTCTCCATCTTATATAACGATACATTTGTAATAACAGCATTGTGAACAATCAGATAATCTAGATCCCTGAGGTATTTTTCTTTGGTATCCGTACGATATTATTCCATATTTGCCTAAACTGTAAATTATTAAATTTGTTACACCATATTCTGTA